GATCTGTCCCTATTAGAGACTAATTGTATGTAATTATTGGTATCATTTTTTAGAGATAACCATCATTTTTGTTTTCTTGGTTTTGCTACGTGTCATACTAACCATAGATAGTTTATCGAAGAGTATCTGGAGGTCTGTCAAATCGTTGGCTATTATGTGTATGCTATTTTGTTAACAATAACTCCATTTATCACTATTTCAGCTAACTCATCTTCCAATGCTTTACGAAATATATATTCTTAGTATAAATTGAATAGCATTGGAGAAATAATACATCCCTGTCGTACACCCTTCTAAATATTTATTTCTTCTGACAGATAGTCTTTGAGTTTTATTCTTGCTGTTTGACCCCAGTATAATCTTGATATTATTTGAGCATCTTGATAATCAATGTTTATTTGTTGCAAGATTTCCAATAGATGTTATAAAAAGGGCATTTAAACTAAAGTGAAGAAGGAATTTCAAGAGATTCATTTTTAATTTTTGTTTTCTTTCTGTAAGTTAGGTTATTTGTATAAAAATCAACATTTTCAATCGATAATGATTAGAAAAGACTTGTTTTCAATATTTCTTGTTCAGCCAAAACCTACTCCATCGATTTGTGAGATTATTTGGAGTAAAAAAATGTTTATCCCTGAAAACGGGTGGCACTAACCCCCAGGATAAAAGTTCACAAGTACCATTTAGCATTTGTTCTTTGATATATTTTCTACATATTTCTACGGTACTTAAAAATTCGCAAGGTGAAAGATGGACTAATTATAAATCTCATTACGAATTGAAATAATATCATATATGATTAATAACAAAAAGCCATAATAATTTGTTTACTAAAAAATGCGTTTTGTAACTATGAAAACGAAACAATCATTCAAACTAGTCATACATTCCATTAAATCAAGTAATTCCAGCACATAAATTTTATTAGTAATTTCATTATAAATCATGAGCAAAATCAAGAAAAAACTCACTGTATTGTAGTCATACTGAGCTTTTGACTTTGTTTCAAAATCGACATCAAATTATATTGCATTTAATAATCAATAAATATTTTTTAATGTATAGGGTGTATCTAAAATAATTTGAAATATTTTTTATAGTCTGGCAAATATTAAATAATAAATTGCAAATCACGCGTCGTAAGTGATCAAAAGTAGCAAAATCACGTGTCTATCATGCATTCCCGAAAATTTTGAATTCGATCATTGACGGCGATAGGGACAAGAAAGAGATAAGGAGGGTAATAAAAACTAAAAAGATGGAATTCCTGAATGAGACCGAAAATGTTTTGATTATATTGATATATTAAAAGTTCGTTTGTAATACTCCATTAAACGTTTTTTATAAAAAATAGTGTATATAGTTATATGTTTTTAATATGCCATACGCTAAATAAAAAATAAATTTTCCGCTACTAATACGCTTCTTGCTAAAACTCATAAGGATAGCTAAGAGTATAGTTATTGTTGCCCAATATCTGTCTTGGTCTTGCAGTCTTGGTCTTGTTCTTGCGTCTTGCGCAAGAACAAGACCAAGAACAAGACCGTCTAATTTTAGTAGTAGTTCGGGTATATGCTTAGATTAGGTTAGGAAATTTGGACTTTACCGCATTACAAACAATACCACAAACATACATAGCGAATCAAAACATTCATTAAAAGAATACTTGACACATTTGACACGTACTCAAAGGTCATAATTATAATGTAAAAATAAAATATTTTATACATTCTTTTCCAGCAGACGACCCTTCGCTCTGAAATTAATTGTCCAGATTTTGAGAATAGCCGCTCTCTAATTATAAAATAATATCTTCTTGCTTTGCGACGCCGATAGTAATATCACTATAAACAGTTTTTTAGATATTTATTAATTTGGTTAGTCTTTACTATGGGTATGTTAATTCAAGCTTAAAATGTACCTACTTCGTTAGGTTATTCTAAGAACTAAAGTAACTTTTAATAAATAGCAGCATGCTAATGGACAACTGCAAGACTATTACTGCAAGACCAAGACCAAGACCGGGAGCGCAATACCAAGACCAAGACCAAAACTAGGTGTATTGGCGCAAGACCAAGAATGTGTAAGTCTCGTTTTGTTCTCGCATTTGGGCAACACTAAGTATAGTACTCTGTTGGTGACCAGATTAGATATCTTACAAGTTTTTTGAGTTTTATTGACCTTAATAACTAAATATCTTTGTTTCCTGTAGTGTGTTCGCTGGACTTTTTGAATTTAATGCCAAAAATACACCATTTTAACTTTTATTTACTTTCATCTACTCTAGTTCTTTCAACAACTACAGTAAAGGGTAAATAATTTTGAAAGGATTAGGAGGCAATTATTTGATAAAATCCGTTTAATGCTTTATCGTGATTAAATGGTAATTTATTAATGTTAATTTACTAATTTGATCCTTACAAACATGTAAATAACCTAAGAATTGCTAATTTTCAATAAATAATAATCAAATAATAATAATAAATTTATAATCCATGATGGCAACTACTTATTCTTAACGGTAAAAAACTATTATTATATTGAATTTATCGATTTAAAAAAAAAAAAGGAAAGCTGGAGGAAGTGTTTGTAAAGGAGCACGAAATAAGAAAAGAATGGCAGCTCTATATATCAGAGTTGTTTGAAGATGGCAGGAATAATATTGCCGAATTCTACAAAAACTGTACTGACGGCCCAGAAATTATGAAATGCGAGGTAGAACACGCTATAAATATTGCTAAAATTAGAAAAGCTTATGATCCAGATAATACACCAATTCAGTTGCTGAAACTAATAAAGAATGATAACATAAAAGTAGTAGTAAGACTTTTTAATTCAATATATAACACCGGAGTGAATCTCGCAGATTGGGTCAAATCCTCCATCTTTGTCGCAATACCTAAAAAACACAATGCAAGAAAATGCTCAGAAAATCGATTAATTAGCCTAATGAGCTAATGATTTTCCAACCTTAAAATTTTTCCTTCTAAAGGAAAAAATAAAAATTAAAAAATAAAACATTTTTCTTAAAATTTCTTTGAAAGAATAACTCTCTTGCTTATGCTACCCGTAGAATCATTATTCAGTAAAACCTCCCTTAACCGAAACCTTTTTAACCGAAACATCGTTTAACCGAAACAAAATAATTAACGAATAATTTTATTGACGAAATAATTTCGTCAATAAAAAGTAAATTTTTATCGCAAAATGTAAATTCCATTAATTTCATTCAGCGATTGATGCCTATGTGTGTTGGGAAATAAAAAAAAACAGGAGCTCTAAAAGATATTTGAGGAAAAGCACTTCCAGTTTTTTATAAAAGCCAAAAAAGCTCATGGGTGTCGACCACTTTATTTTCAGAATGGTTCGAAAATGAATTCGTCCCAAGCGTAAAATCCTTTTTAAAATAAAAAACCTTTCCATCAAAACATTGTTGCTTGTTGACTCAAAATCTATACAATAGTAATAATTGTCAGATAATTTTTGCCACCGAATGCCACGAGCTTAATTCAGCTGTTAGACCATCAGACAAATGAATCCAAAAGTGTTCCTGAAATCCTCAAATGTTCAACAATAAAACATGTTCTTTATCAGTGTGCTGAGTTCTGGGCCAAGATCAAATCTTCAACTTTGGAAAAATGCTGAAACTAACTTTTTGATAGGATTTTGATTGACGATCCTGAAGAAGAAAATGGCAAGAAATGACAGAAGAAATTATACCTTTAATAAAAAATTTGATGGGATGTGACGAAATTAACTAAGAAGAGATACGTGAGTGGTTAGCAGCCGATGACTCAGAAAGTGAATTCATCGACCAGGACATCATGGATATGGTTCTTCATCCAGACAGCCTGAGCGTATCAGACGACGAAGATGACGACCCAACAGACATCAGACAGCATGAGACCGTCGACGAGATTTTCAATGCCTTAAGGATAAGAATTTTATACAGTAGGCCTAATTAGTTAGGGACACGACTAGGTTCTTAATTTTTGTTGTCATTGTATAAAGTTTTGTCCTTTTCAGATTGCTTTACGTTTCGTCGAACGATGAAATGAGGCAAACTCACGACGTTCTGCAAATGAACGATGGATATATATATAGCTGCAAATCATCGTTGTCAAACGATAACGTAAAAGAAAATCGAAGATTTCTTTAAAAAACTTGTTAAACTTGTTCATTTTTCTTCATTTTATTACTTTATTCTGTATTTACTTATTAGAAAACATTACGAAATCACCTCATAGTATTTTTTAATACCAATACTTTAACCAAGAATACTATAAAAAACAATGTTATTTTTAACCGAAATTCTTGTTATCCGAAACGGCCTCCCCCCAATTATTTCGGTTAACGGAGGTTTTACTGTAACTTAATTTTTTTCTGACTTACGTTATCGTAAAAGTTATAAACAATTTATCCGCTTAAATTTCACTTAAAGTCTTCATAATTTGCACTCTTTGGCAGCATTGTACATTTTCTCTACTTGAGTTTGTATGTATGGTCAAACTTCCGAAAGACATATATCTTAAAAATGGAATATTTAAACAGTGTACTGAATACAAATATCTTGTCACTATTGTCACATCAATAGTAAAGAGGAAGTTGTCATTTGGAAGTGAGTAGAATAACTTAGGGGAAGCACATTATTTGGATAGTAAAGAACTGCCTTGTTCAAAAATATAAGAAAGAAGACATTTAAAAGAAGACATATATTTAAAAAATATACCGAAATGTAGAATAAAATCTATAAGAATTTATACGCCGAGTCCTTATATTTTTGCAAAAAAAAATGAATGAACTAGTGGGAGTAAAAAACGGTTTACAATAATTGTATAATTCGTGCAAATTTGAGCAAATTGCAGTACTTAAATAGCAATAGCATGAGAGACATAATAATTATTTAATATCAATCAGAGAGAAAACAAACAGAGAATTATTTATCAAAGCAATAACAATTTAGCGGTTTAAAAAAATATATTTGTGCTTTAAGAATGTACCTGCTTTTGGACATATTCTACCTTCTTCTTATGTTGTCCGGGGGCACTACTCAACTTAAAAACTACCCAACTTCGAAAGTAAGTCCAAATGTTATAAAAAAACGAAATCGGCAAAAGGAACAAACACACGAACACCCATCTATAGTGCACTAGAATATACTCCAGATACCCCATCACTAAACGGAATAAACGGCTGTGACATAAAATTGCAGAATAAGTATTAATTTCCGCGTGAGGCTTGAAGTAGAGTCGCGCACGTTCTACGGCAGCGGCAAGTAGCCGGCTTCAATCCTTCAACAATAAAATTGGCCTTGAATGCCGCTACCGACTGTAGGTCCCTATGGCCACAGATTAAACCATAATCTTGACTGTGGTCAGGCGAAAATTTACGATATATTAAAACGTCGGATGAGGCACAATAGAAACATTTCTACCCCCAGCCGTTTCGATTTTACCTGAGTAACTGAATCCGAAAAAATAATGTATAACGATAGTTGGGATAACATTGTTAGGGAGGTAAGTACAGGTGTACCTACACTATAAATGCAGTGACCAATACTTTCTTTTTGATATTTTTTACAAAAATGACTATAAAAATAAATCTTTGTACACAAAATACACCAAAAAATAACAGATAAATATTTAATTACTTAAATAATAATCAAAACTTTAATATCACTTTTAATAAAAAGCTTATCTGGAAATAGCATATTCAGGAACTTAAAGGAAACTGTGCCCAAAGAATCAATTTACTTAAATTTCTTGTGACATGTGAACTGCGACATTTATCTGCGACTATCACCACTGCTGTTTAACATATACTCTGAGGAAATCTTTCAAGAAGCAGTGGGTGATGTTGAAGCCGGAATTCGAATCAACGGAGAATCTATCACTAACATTAGATACGCGGACGACACGGTAGTATTCGCTGACAGCTCTGAAACCCTCCAGGAGTTAATGAACAGAATCACAGAGGTCAGTCAGAGATACGGACTTTCACTAAACACTAAGAAAACAAAATGCCTGATGATCTCTAAGAAGGAACAGCAATTTGGACAAATCAGTGTAAACAGTCAATAGAAAGAGTAAAAACGTACACCTACCTTGGTACGAACATCAATGAAAATTGGGACCATTCCATAGAAATCAAATGTAGAATAGAGAAAGCAAGATCTGCATTTCAAAAAATGGCTAAGTTATTCAAATGTCATGATTTATCAATGCCCATAAAAATCAGGTTACTACGATGTTACATCTTTCCTATACTGTTGTACGAAGTTGAGTCATGGACTCTCACAGACGCCACCTGCAAGAAAATTGAGGCTTTTGAAATGTGGCTTTATCGTCGCATCCTGAAGATATCGTATACCGACCACGTTACTAATGAGGGTGTTTTGTTGATAATGAAAAAAGAAAAAGAGCTGTTAACCACAATAAAAACAGCCAAAATCGAATACCTCGGTCATATCATGAGGAACAGCGAAAGATATGGACTGCTGCAACTAATCTTGCAGGGAAAAGTAGAAGGAAAACGGGGACCAGGAAGGCGAAGGATTTCCTGGCTGAAAAATCTACGAACGTGGTTCAACACAACAACCACTAATCTTTTTAGAGCAGCAGTGTGCAAAGTGCAGATTGCCATGATGGTCGCCAACATCCGAAACGGATAGGCACTACAAGAAGAAGAAAATTTATTCCCGGTTACTCTTGGGGAGCTGAATCTCTGCTTACAATATATAGAGCGCTAATTTGTTATAAGCTAAACACTGGCAGATTTCTTTATATGGCGTCTAGTAGTTCCTAAAGTCTCTAAACACGATTCAAAATACATCTCTACGACTATGGCTTGGTGCTTTCAAATCAAGCCCCGCTTAAAGTGTTTATGTTAAATCTTCAGAGCCACCATCATCATCAACAGGGCTTTTCATTCCAGGTGTAATGTTTGCCGCTCTTACTTAGAGCTCTATGATTAGCTTATTGCGCTGAATCACTCCGAATTCTACTTGTATGCTGTCAAAGTTTGTTGTATGACTTGGCTTTCGTTACAATTTTCTTCCACTAATTTCGATATGTGCAAAGTTTCCTTCAGTTTTTCACTTCCAGAATTTGATAATCTCTCATGACCTGGTCCTCCCATCTCTCTCTAAGTCTTTCCCTTGGTCTTTCAGTTGTTGGTTTCCATCTGGACATTTTCTTAACCAGTAGGTCGTTTTTCCTTCTCTCTATGTGCCCAGCCATCTCAGCCTCTGTGCTTTAATAAATTTAACTATAACTTCTCCCTTCATTATGTCTCTTAGTTCATGGTTCATTCTTCTTCTCATTTCTCCGTTGTCTGTTCTTATCAGGCCCATAATTCGTCTAAGGATTTTCCTTTCGAAAATTCTCAATTTTTCTTATTTTTTTTTCGTGATGCACATTGTCTTAGCTGCGTACTTAACTACTAGTCTGATTGCAAATCTGTATATTTTCAGTTTTGTATTTCTGGATAAGTTCTTGTCGTTCATAAGCCCATGATATCTCCAGAATATTTTGTTGCCGGCTAGTATTCGTTCCGTTACTTCTTCACATTTCTTGTTTTGACCATTCACTATAACTCCCAAATGTTTAAATTGTTAGACTCTTTTAAAGTGTAGTTTTCTATTTTGATTTCTCTCGTCCTGTTATCTTCTCTTCTAGAGCAGAGTAGACATTTTGTTTTTCCTTCGGTAATTTCTAGACCTCTTTTCCGTGTTTTGTTTTTCTTTCCCATAAGAACTAGATCATCTGCATATGCAACTATTTGTTTTGAGGAGTGAGCTATAGTTCCTTGAACTTTTCTGACCTTAACTGTTCATTCTACTGCTATGTTGAATAACGTGGTTGACAGGGAATTACCTTGTCGCGCTTCTGTTTCTATTGCAATTAATTTTGTGCTATCTTCTTCTGTTGTTACTTTAGCTCGAGCTCCCTCCATGGTCATTTTTCCTTCCAATTTTCTTTCCAATTTATTTCTTCCAATACAGTCAACTACTTGTCTGAAATCTACGAAGAGGATGTGGAGTTATATGTTGTATTCATGGCATTTTTCGATTGTTTGTGCAACTATGTGGATCGCATTTGTAGTGGATCTGCTTTCTTTGAATCCTTGCTGGTAGTCCACAATTTTTTTCTCTGTGAATTTTTCTGAGTTTTTGTTTGATGAGGGCTGTTAGAATTTTATATGTTGTGCTCTAGTCAAGATATTGCTCTATAGCTGTTACAGTTTGTTACTTCTACTTTCTTAAATATTGGTATAATTCTGCCTTCTTTCCAATCCTCGTTCATTTTTTCTGCTTCTCATATTCTAAAAATTAGGTTATAACTTGTCAATAACTTTTCCCCTCCGTTTTTAATTAGCTCATTGGGAATTTCATTTGGGCCAGGTGTTTTTTTTTTGTTTCATTTTTTGAATGATGTCTAAATATTCATCATATGTTGAATCCCTATTTCATTATATCTAATGTCTTTAATTGCGCCTACTTCCTCTTCCGGACTTTCTTTGCATCTATACAGTTCTGTGAAGTGTGTTTCCCATGATTTATTGTCAATTTTAACTACTGGTCTGCCTTTTCTTTGTTGAGCTTTTAGGTATCCAAATAGTTTGCATTAGCATTGTCTTTACTATTCTTTTCTAGGTTCTTTAACAGCTCTTCCATCCAAATTTTTGTTTGTTCTTGCAACAATTATCCGCTGCTTTTTTCTTTATATTCGTTTCGATGATGTTCTTCTTTAGTTGATTTACCTCTTACTTGGTTTTTTTATTTGATTTTGATTTCCCATTCTACATCAAACCACTCTTTCCTTCTTTTTATTTTCCTCTGTTCTAGTACCTCTTCAGTTGAATTCAAATTGGATTCTTTTTGAATATAGTATATTCTATAGTCTCATATTGTTCTCTTAACTCATATACTTTTAACTTCTTCAGGTTCCATCTTCTGTCTTGTTCTCTCTGCTTTAATTATCTTCATTTTGATTTCTTTTCCATCGTTTTGCTTGTAGTGCTAGTAGGTCTATTCTGTATCTTTGCATTTCTCTTGCTATCTCTGCCATTTTTCCTACTCTCAATAATGTTTGAACGTTCCAAGTTCCTATTTTTACTCTATTTTCTTCTTGTTTTTTCTTTTTCTATCTCTATTTCTTATGTTTGATTCGTTATTCGTGCTAGTTTCGTCATCCGGTTTTCGTCCGTTTTCTTTAAAGTCTTTTTACATTGCATAGACGCTTTTTCCATATTCGTTTGCCGGGTTGTTTTAGTGATACTAGTCGTTTGTTCTTTACTATGTGCTAGTTTTAAATGCGATCCCAGTTTTTTGGCTTTGTGTCAGTATTATTTGCAGTCTTGGTTATTTTCGCCATATTTTCTGATTTATTTTCGTCATCTCCTTGTGATCTCTCAGTGTATGTTCTTTCTCTGGGTTTTCCTTGAGGTGTTTCAGTATTCATCGTTTCGCTTTGTGTTTCTTGTATCCTAAGCTTTCCACAATATATGTTTTGTCATCTATTTTTAGCTTATTAATCTAATTGTAAAACGATGGTTTTTAATTTAATTTAATTCATTTATTTTATTATTTTTTTTATTTTAATTAATTTTAAATAAATTAATTTAATTTAATTTCATTATATTTTATTTTTATTTTGTTTTACTTTAATGTACTTTTATTACGTTTTATTTATTTTAATTTAATTTAATTTATTTTATTTGATTTTAAACAAATATTTCAAAATCAAAATTAGCCAAATCGATTCAGTCGCTCTCGAGTTGTACATACGTACTTTGTACCTATTTCCTTTACGAAATGCTTTATTTTATTTTTCGAGTTTTTCTATACCTATCGCATAATTTTTGTGAAAGAGACCACTGCCAACCACTGAAAAACGATAATTTAGAAACAGAATAGATGCAAATTTGTGTTGAAGCACATCATAAAAATCCTTATCACGTTCGCGAACAAGACGGCATATCCCGTCACGCACACAGGGACAAGACGTGATATGCCGTCCAAACAAACAGCTCGGTTTAATACTCAAAGCGGCATTTTTCGTCGTGCTTATATTGGTTTCCCCGTACCTGTCCCTGCATACGTTTCGCCATGCAGTTGACCTCGCTTGTATTTTGTGAATGCACATGAATAATATCTTCCTACATTTTTATACTGTTAAAGTTATGCTACAATCGTAAAAACCAAGTTAAAGAAAGGTGAACACCGTTGGAGCCGATGTGGTCAAGTATACGTTTCAAAATGGAG